TCACAAACACAGAAATATTTAATTACTTCTATTTATGAAGGATTTTCTCCATTACTAGATTCTCTGTTGAGCATATGCACATTTTGTAACGGGTTATGTAAGGACCCAAATGCAGCGAACTGGACACCTAGTAAAAGTTTATAACGAAGTTTAATACTATAATCCAGAGGTACAGAGCAGGGCAGGTCATTTATGTCCAACAAGAGTCTCAGTCAGGGAGCAGGCAGAAGACAAGTTGAAGCCAGACAGTAGATCAAGGAGTCAGTAAATAGCCATGGACACAGGCAAACAGGAACCAGGCTGCAGAAAAAAACCTAGTCGTAGTCAGGACAAATGCGAGTTAGGCAGGATCGGCATTAGAGAATCAGTCAGGGAAAGAGTGCTGGAAAGTCTTGCATGAAGCGTAGAACAATCTGCCAATAAGTGACTAGGCCAGTGGCTTATATACTGGTTCGGTTAGCAATGAGCAGCAGGTGTGCTGACGAGGTGGGAGTGGCTTGGCCGGTGGTGTGAGGCGGAGCGGGGTCAGTGGAAAATGACTGAGGTGCAGCAGGCAGCAAAATAAGCAGAATTGATGCTAACAACTGGGAAATATCAGAACATAAGGCCCATCACAATTCCGCGAGCCCATGAAATGCCTTGCTTTTCTAACCAATAGTCAAAATTCCAAACATATTGATCTTAGAATAATATAAAAGAGAGAAAGGTAGTAAATCCTTACCTTTGAGACTCTTAAACCAGTAATTCTTGATGAGATATAAGTGTAGAAAGACATTTGTGGGTGAAGGAAAGAGGAGACGCAATCTAGGGTTTTAAAACCCCATCGATCAATGAGTGCCGTTGTTTGTCTCCGAAGGACTCAACTTCACCCACAAAGATCGCCATTGACCTACGGAGCCAATCGAAATAATCTTTTAATTTGATTGTCTTTAACGTTATTTGTCAGAAATAGAACAGTGGTCAAGATGTTTTTCACACTGGCTGCTGAAAGCCTCCACACTCTCATCCACATCTGCCTCGGGAGTGCTGACACTGCTGTTTGGTAAATGCTTGCTTGGTTGTGCTTGGTGCAGTCTGCAGAGATTGGATGGAGCCTGTCATATTCACCTGTATCACCTTATACACACTCACACTATGTCACAACTATTGTCCAACTATTATCCTTAGCATAATACATTCTGTAGACATTTTAGACATAAAAACTCTCAAAGTTTTTACTGCCTTGAGTCCAGAAAAATAAATGTCCACTCCCAACAATATAAAATAAGACGGGCAGGATGTAAAAAAAAGACGCTGGCGCGTCCAGGCGCGCATCATTTACTTAATTCATCATATCTTTTCGATTATAAGGAGTAGAAATATGATTCAGATATCCGCGGAATCGCTGGAAGTGTAGCCAATATGGCCGCTCTAAGCGGCTTGACTTTACACTGTGTGGGATTGGTGGATTCATGTGTCCGTCAAGGAAATCTCGGCCGGCAGCCATGATGGTCTGAAATGACCACTGGACATTGAGAAATCACTAAGGACCTCCCCACCAAGAAAAAAAAACATAAACCACGTGTCTCCCATCAGTTTACGTCTGTGAGGAGAGAGAGAGAGACAAACAAACCAAACATTTGACAAATGGGAAAATCATCCAATTGAAAATGCTCACAATGAGTTTTGCAAACCCATCCTACAGGAGAACAACTAACAACGCCTGCAGAGCGGAATTAGGCACATTTCTAAAGGAAGTGACCCCCACTCCTACCACCACAAAGCCCTGCAGCATCAAGAGATGAACAAGGGAAACCTGAAGGGTCCTGACACTCTGTTCACAAACCGGTTCTAACTGTGTTCTGCCTCAGGACCAGTCTGAGCCCACAACTATTAGAGTCAACCAAATTATAACAAAACACACAAAAAACTACCTCACTTATTGGAACACTAAAGAGAGAGAGAGAGAGAGAGAGAGAGAGAGAGAGAGAGAGAGAGAGAGAGAGAGAGAGAGAGAGAGAGAGAGAGAGAGGAGAGAGAGAGAGAGAGAGAGAGAGAGAGAGAGAGAGAGAGAGAGAGGGAGAGAGAGAGAGAGAGAGACTGGCCATAGAAACAGGCAGGTACAAGAAACATGGCTGCCAAAAGAGGAGCGATCATGCCAACAGTGTGGAGGAACTGCTGTGGAGACAGAGCAGCACTTCCTCACACAATGCCCAACTTTTGAAGCTATACGGAAACAATTCTTCCCAAAACTCAATCATAAGCATCCTCAAATATTTAAAAATGAAAAACTAAAAATACTTCTCGGGGAATATAAATCGGATGTCAAATGTTAAGCTTTAGAGCTACTTATCTCATCACACAGTGCTCGGTGAGTCATTTGCATTTATAGCAATACCAGAGATTGTCCTGAACATTTTGATATGTAACACATGGGGTGCCATGTATAACAAGTACATTTAAAAGATGATTTAAGGAAACATCTAAAAATCGAGAAAATACCCTTAGACTCCAGGGGTTAAATGTGCAACATGGAATCATTCGTTATAACAAATTATTATAACAAAACCTGGGTCCCTCAAGGTTTTAAGCTCAGTTAATAAGTGTGTAAAAAATAAAATAAAAGCAGAAACTGTAGATAAAAATAACTTTGCTTAGAAACTCAGCGTTATTTGTAAGGCTGAGGAGCACATCATTGATTAACTACATCATTTTGTGAGGTTACATGCGTTAAAAAGCCCATTAATCCACTGTGTTGTATATCAGTGTAGTCACAATCAGATTTTAAGCTAACGTTAGCGCCTCACTCCTGTTATTTGGGGACGTTTTAGCTAACGTTACCTGAGGTACTGTCACGTTTATCTCAGTGACTAGTCAAAACACTTTTTTCTTCTGACAGAAAAAGTAAAAAGACATAGTTTGAAACTACCACCCAGTAAATAAGCTAAGCTGCTAAACAAAGTTTTTATTTTACAGTTTTTCCTAGCTTACTGAAAATGCTACGGCTACATTGCAATACAAGAACGGTGTTTATTTGTTTCCATGATGTCTACATGGATGAAGAATTGAAGATGCTAAGTTTAACATGCAACGTTGAGGCCCACAAATGGTTTTAAACCAACTCATGGTGGTAACGTTAGCTTAATTAACTAGCGACAATAGATCAAATCTTTCAGTGCATTTGGGATTCCAGCCAGAAGAATCTGTGTTAGCAAAAACATGTTGCTTTGGTTTCATTCTGTCTCAATTCAAGGGCAGGTTTCAAAACCTATATCAATTTCTTCTTTGTTGTAATATTACAGTTTGCCAATCAATGATAGAAAAATGGTCTTGGTTTTTATAAATGACAAAACCGGCTACTGGAGAAAATCCATGCAAATCAATTTTTGGTATCACAATCAATCTTCCAGCCAAGAAGCCCTAGATCTTAACTGACAGAAACTAATTATGGTTTATTTTGTTGAGTGTTTGGAAGAATTTACCGGGCAGATAGGACAAGATGTAACAAAATGTTATTTTTAACTTGTACCTGTTAGAGTGGAGGTGGTGACAAAAACGACATTAAACCACGTCAGTGTGTCAGTTTCTGCTAAACTGGGAAACTTCATTTTAGTCTCTGTATAATCTCTACATTTTGTGATTTAATCCATAACACAGGCAACTGACCACCCAGGACAGATTAGTGTCTCCTCAAACAATAAGGGGTTGGGGGAGTCTTATTTCTATGAAACAGCTCTTATAACTGTTTGAGTAGCTGAATGTGTGTATTGGGTTAACATGTACATTCATACTGTATGAAGGAAAGTGTTTGTTATATTTTGCTTCCATGCTTCTCTTTAATATTTTAGTGGTATGAGAGCAGGCTGCTTCCTTCTCCCTGACGTTTTCAGACTCTATAAGAGGCATCGCTATATGTATTAAATAAAGATATTACATAACATGACCAAAAGTTTGTGGACAGCTTAACGTTGCTGACCCATGAAATACAGCCCAAGAATACAATTACACAAAGTACTGTTACTGTATGTGTCCACATTTTTTTTATCCACATGCTTTATTTCAGTAACATTTTGTAGAAATGGTAGAATGGGATTTTGTTTTGAAGAAGTTGTTAAGTTTCGTTTTAAATATAGTTTATAGTATAAGAATGCACTAAAAGCCATAAGTTCCTGTTTAGGAACTTATGACACATACTGTAGAATACAGTTGCACATGAAGTACATAAAAAAAGTATATTTTCACGTGTGATTTCCTGTATTTAACATAACGAAAATCAGAAAAAGACATGAATCTCTAGCATGTAACATTTCCCAAAAACTAATGTTTATATCTTAATATGTGTCACATGAAATCGGTACCTGAGATAATCGGGGGAAAGTGTAAATATGTCCCCTAAATTTCAAGGTATTTGCCCTTTAAAACACAACGAAGTGGGCAAAAATGCCTTCAAATTTAAAACATATCAAATAATTACATGTATGTAGCACCATTCTCACACAATTTCATTTAAAAAACCCTTTAAACAAAAGATTTTAAGATGACAAAAATCGCCCAAAATGTACCCGTTAAAAATATTTATTTTGAAATTGTGTTTTACATGTGATACATTCACATGTTTTGAGAGGGTGTAACGCTTGGTATTGTTATCTTGTCATTTACTACTGAAGTGTTTGGGTGGAGGAGTTCACACAGGCTTGAGGTTTTGCCTCCCTACAGATCAGACCACATGCCAACTTTTTATCTACTCACATCTTCGGTTTTTCTTTTGATATTTTTAAATATGTAGAAAAAGGCCAGTTCTTGCCTTTAAACATTTAACATCCCTATTACTTCTTGCATGTTCCCTCCCTGCAGCAGCTCCCCATACCCGCACTAACTGCTCCTCACTGACTCAGCATGTATGTGAAAGGCAGAGGGAAGGGGGCAGGGCTCTGAGATGTGAGCCTGCGAACTGGCTGAGTGTGAGCACTTGCAGGCGGGGAGTCAAAGGAAGGAGGGAGGGAGGCTCTGCTGGCCGGACAGGTCTGCACTGCTCTGCTGGAGATAAGGAGGGAAGATGAGAGGGAAGGAAGAAGGAATAGCAGAAAGGATGAGACAAGACAAACCATGTGGGAGGTGTGAATCCTCTAAACGGCAGTGAGAGGGTGAGTGTGAGATTGAGAGGAAGATTTTATGTGTAAATGTAGCTGTTTGTGTCTCTGGTGTGCTGTTGCCAGATCGGGTCGATCAGGAGACAGATTTACAACACGATACAAATGATCCAGATGTGCATGTCATGTTGTAGGACTCACAAACCCAATGACTAAGGCAGCACAACGTGGGGCACTTCAGTGTGTTTGTGTTTGTGGCTGTAAAGGCATGAATAACAGAACATGTGTGAAATTAGGAACTTCATATTTTTCCATCTAGCCATGTGTCATTACATGCATTTCACCAGTGCTGGGCTTTCAATTATTATCGTCATTGAACCTCAGCAAATATACATGATCATATGATGTAGTCTGAGCATGGTGTTGGAAAACCCTTTTAGTTTTACCCCTTTTACTGTTGATGTTGTTCGTGAAGCTTTAACCAAGTTAGATCCTAACAGCCCGTCTACACTACAGGCGTCAAAAAATGCTTTCAACGCTTCGCCCATTCATTTGAATGGGGTGACATAGGATATTTTCAAACTTCGCCGAACTGCATTGTGGGTAGCATGGCAAGGCGTTGCAAGCATCGCGAGCGTCTATCGGTGTCAAAAGTTGAACAATGTTCAACTTTTGAGGCTCGATGCTTGCTCGAAGCTGGCGTCAGCCAATCAAATCCCATTTATGCAAATCCCGCCAGTACAAGCGCTAGCCAATCAAACCGCGTGCAAGCTGGGAGAGCCAGACCGCAGTTCATTTCCTCATATTCCAAACGAGAAATTACGGTAGCAAATCACCCGGTTCTTTCCGACCAGAACTATTTACCGGGATACAAACCGGAGGAACCAGGCATGGAGGGAGGTGGCAGAGACAGTGGGTGAAACTGGTAGGTTTTCGCCTGTTTGGGGATTTTATATCCAGTTTACTTCGTTTTAACATTGCTATTTCTTTGTATGTCGGGGGCGGGAGATTCATGTGATTGGTTGTTGGTCGCGTTGCTCGCAAAAAATCGCCAAGCTTCAGACACGCCCAGCTTCAAGATTTGTTTATGCCTATAGTGTAGACGGGCCGTTACGGCCCGTCCACACTACAGCGTCTGCAGCGTCGACAGCTTCAATCTGCCCATTCACTTTGAATGGGGTGACGTCACGTTGCCGCTTTTTTTCGCCGAACTGAATTGTGGGTAGCAGAGCGGTCCGTCTCCGGCGTCTCCGGCGTCAGAAGTTGAACACTTCTGATGCCTGAGACGCCGGAGACGGACCGGGTAGCCAGCGCCAGCCAATCAAATCCCGTTTCGGAAAATCTGACAGATCAAGCCGTAGCCAATCAAACCGCGTCTAAGCTGGGAGAGATATCCCGCCGTTCATTTCTATATTTCAAAAAAAGATGGAGGAGAAACTAATTATCGCCGTAGCAAATCACCCGGTTTTGTATGACCAGACCCTCTTCACCTACCGGGATACAAACCGGAGGAACCAGGCATGGAGGGAGGTGGCAGAGACAGTGGGTGAAACTGGTAGGTTTTCGCCTGTTTGGGGAGTTTATATATATATTGCTCCCATAAAATCCCCGGGGGTTTTTGCTTTGTATGTCGGGGGCGGGAGATTCATGTGATTGGTTGTTGGTCGCGATGCTTGAATACAATCCCCAAGCTTCAGACACGCCCAGCTCCAAGCTTTTTTTGAAGCTGTAGTGTGGACGCTCCGTTACAGGCCGTACACACAGCAGCTTTTGGCGATTTGTCCACCGCTTCCAGCGCGTCTCCGCCCATTGACTTTGAATGGGGATGACGTCACTTTCCCTCGCTTGTCGCCGAACTGCATTGTGGGGGGGCGAGGCGAAGATTTCCAGGATTTCCAGGATTTTCAGGATTTCAAAGTTGAGCAATGTTCAACTTTTGAAGCTGAGCTGGAAGCGTCAGCCAATCAAATCCTGTTTATGCTAATCTGACAGTTCAAGCGCTAGCCAATCAAACCGCGTGCAAGCTGGGAGAACCAGACCCGCAGTTCATTCTATATTCCTAACAAAAATGGAGGAGAACTTAGTTATTGCGGTAGCAAATCACCCGGTTCTTTATGACCAGTCCCTATTTACTTACCGGGATACAAACCGGAGGAACCAGGCATGGAGGGAGGTGGCAGAGGCAGTGGGTGAAACTGGTAGGTTTTCGCTTGTTTGGGGATTTTATATCCAGTTTACTTCGTTGCTAGTTTACTTAATTGCTAGCAAGCATAGACAGTATCATTAGCCAGCATGGAATGTAGCATAAAATAGCACCATAGACATTAATCTCATAAATGTTCAAAATGTTAAAAGAAATAGTGGAGAAGAACTGGGGTTTTTTGCTTTGTATGTCGGGGGCGGGAGATTCATGTGATTGGTTGTTGGTCGCGAAATCCCCAAGCTTTCAGACACGCCCAGCTCCAAGATTTTCGAGATTTTTGAAAAGCTGCTGTGTGGACGTACCGTAAGAAACCGGCTGGCCCGGACAACGTAGAACCTTTCTTTTTAAAGATAGCTGCAGATTTGATTGCTCCACCTCTCACTACTCTTTTTAACCTCTCCCTCAGCACTAACACAATTCCAAAATTGTGGAAGTCAGCGTATGTCCTGCCTTTGCTAAAAGGAGGGGAGGCCACCTTATTAAATAACTATAGGCCAATCTCTAAGTTGTCAGTTCTGGCTAAGGTTCTTGAACGCTTAGTGAGTGAACAGGTAAAGGTGTTTTTATGTACAAATGACATCCTTTCTAAACATCAGTCAGGCTTCAGAAAACAACATAGCACCATCACTGCCACAATGAAAGTGGTGAATGATGTGGCGAGTATTTTAGATAATAAGCAGAGTTGTGCAGCTCTATTTATTGACCTTTCAAAAGCGTTTGACACCGTCGATCATCGCATTTTAAAGCAGAGGCTAGCTAGTATAGGCATGTCCAGCCATGCAGTAGGGTGGTTTGTGAACTACCTCTCTGAAAGGTCCCAATGTGTTCACTTTGATGGGCTGTCTTCTGAGTGGTTAAACATTGCTAATGGTGTTCCCCAAGGTTCTGTTTTAGGTCCACTTTTATTCTCCATATATATCAACAGTTTAGGTGAAAATGTGGATGAAGCTACTTTACATTTTTATGCGGATGATACCGTGTTGTACTGTGCAGGTCCCTCCATTAAGGAGGCTGGTGTTAAATTACAGGCTGTTTTTAACATTATTCAGACTCAGCTCTCTGAACTAAAGCTTCTTTTAAATGTTGAGAAAACCAAGGTAATGGTCTTTTCTAAAGCTAAAAATACACCAGAGCCTGTTTTAGATATTGTAACTACGCAAGGAATAAAACTTGAAGTGGTTACCTGTTACAAATACCTTGGTATCTGGCTTGATGATTGTCTCACTTTTAAACTTCATGTCAATAACCTGCTTAAAAAGCTGAGGGTTAGGCTAGGTTTCTTCTACAGGAACAAGTCCTGTTTCTCGCTTGAGGCCAGGAACAGGCTAGTCACTGTGACCTTTTTACCTGTGCTGGACTATGGTGATCTGATTTATATGAATGCACCTGCCAATTGCCTGGTCAAGTTAGATGCTGCATATCACAGCGCACTGAGATTTGTAACAAACTGTAAAGCATTAACCCATCACTGTACCCTGTATGCAAGGGCTGGTTTGCTTTCACTAACTGTACGGAGGCTCAGTCACTGGTACATTTTTATATACAAAGCCATGTTAGGGAAACTTCCATCTTATATCTGCTCCCTGATCTCACGGAAAATTGTAAGTGGCTACTGCCTGAGATCGAATGCTGTGGTTTTATTAAATGTGCCAACTGCTAGGACTGTCTTAGGGAAGACAGCTTTTAGATGCGCAGCTCCTCTGTCTTGGAATAGTCTGCAAATTAAATGGAAACTGAACAATCTGGTGCCACTAAATGTTTTTAAAGCTCGGTTGGATGCTACTCAATCGGAAGCTATAGGTACCTGTTTATGTGGATGATTATGTAAATGATGCTGTATGATGTCCTTTTGTTGTTCTATTTATGTTTTTATGTTTCATGTGGAACTACTTGAGCAGGTCTCCCTTGAAAAAGAGATCAATGATCTCAATGGGATTTATCAGTATAAATAAAGGTTTGAAATGAAATGAAATGGTCCAAATGTAAGATTCTGAGAATACTGCAATATAAAAGTAACAAAATATAAAGTTAGGGGTCTTCTGTAATGCACAACAGTGGACCACACTTCATTCATTTGCATCTTGTATTAGTGATATTGCTTCATTTGGCGTTGTCATTACTGTGTTGATGTCACTGCTTCTTTATTTTGTAGGAAATTATAAAAACCACTCGGCAAAGCAATGCAATTATATTGAAAGAGAGCCATGCCGACACAAGGCAATTCAAAGTGATTTGCAGGGGCATAGAAATATATGAACTATCGGAAATTAACAAAACATTAAAATACCATTTAGAGGAGTTTAAAAACAAAAAATAAACAGACCAATAAGTAGGGGCAGATTAAGAATGAGTTGTGTCTATTACTTTAAAGCTTTAGTAAGAAATAATGTTTTTACAATAAACTGAACTGAGTTTAGGCTTGGAACTAAAATAACATCGTCAACATGAGCAGTACAGCAAGTGTCACTGTATCCACATCCTAAACCATCTTGTTTTGTAGACATCAGAGCGGAAAGCGGATGGTGTTTTTCTTTAACTTAGCTCTGTTTGTTGCACTGAAAGAAACCGCTCATGCTTACGATAAGTCAAAAAACAGCCTATTCAAGAAAATAAATGGTGTTGCCGCCGTAGTTTTCAATACCAATGAGTTTGCAGAAGTTGAAAACTAAAAATACCACCATTCATTTGTACTGTATCCCTCCATCAACTAGTCAAGTTGCAGTCATGTCGGTTGTCACATGATGATTATTTCTTATGAGATAACTGTGGGAAATTGTTAAAATTAGCCAATTAATTCTTGAGTTATGGCCAAAAAAAACTGTTTTGTGATTTTAAAGTGACCTTTGACCCT